CAGGGTGCCGCGCCGTTCACGCCGAGGCCTCGAGGATCGACCCTGCGGGACCTCACCCCCGAGAGGGAGCGGCCGCCGCGCGGTGGCGCCGCGGCCGTCACGCGGGACGCGCCCCCCCTGGCGGCTCGGGAACGGCGTGTGCGACCAGCTGCGGGACCGGACCGCTGGGGGGCCGACACTGGATCGTAGACGGCGCGCCCGTCGATGCCCTGGACCTGTGCGAGGCCATGCGTGCCGTACCCGCGAGCTGCCTGCCCGACCTGCGGGATCCGCAGGAAGAGGGCCGCCGCGCATCGCTGCAGCGCGACCTGCTGCAGGGCAGCGGCGCCGCCTGTCAGCACCAGTGGAGGGGGACGCTGCCGACCTCGTCGACCTCGATCAGAGCATCTTCGAGCACACCATCGACCTCCAGGACCTCATGGACAGGCCGCGGTCGGTCGCCTCCTTCATGCTGCGGTACGCTGATGCCGACGGTGGTGATCGGCGACCGCGCGCTGGTACTCCGCGGCCATTCGGAGGCACTCGCTTTCTTCCTGTCGGGCTTGTCCTGAGTCTTGCAGCGCCGCCGCTCCCGCCGCGCGCTGTCGGCCGCGCCTGGATAAAATTTATCCTGCCAGTTTTCGTTGTCGTCGTCGCCGCCGTCGTCGTCGTCAACCTCGTCTTGGTGCAATCGTGGATCACGTGTTAACCAAAGATAATTTGGGCGTGATATTCGACTCAGTTGTGAGTCTAAACCGTCTCGCCTTCTGGGCGCAGGTGGTTTAGAGTCACAGTTCGTCCAAACCATCCCCTTCTCCCTTGGCTGCAACATGCCTCTAGCCTTTGACATCCTCAACAAGATGACGCTGTATGGCCCAGGCTGGCCTTTTCAGTGCTTTAAAGAGGACTTGAGGAGACTCCACGATGGCGACCTTTCAGGTAGACCTACAGCCTCCCAATACTGCCTGCGAAAGGCCCAACTCGTTGTCAGTCTAGTTGGTGAATTTCACTAGCCATCTGAGCGTAGGTGGTCAAACCATATCTTTCTCTCCTCTTCCAAAACACCCCTTTTCCCTTCGGGAAGGGGTACCATCCCTCCTCCCTCCCTGAGGTTGTTGGGGGTTCCGCGATGTGTCTGAAGGTCTTTCGGCGCCCAAGATGGCTCCTACTCAAAGGCTTCCGATGCTCCAAGATGGCCTCCAAGATAGCTCAGTATTGTTTCGGATTGCTTAGTATTGCTTCCAGCATGCCCCACGAACGCCACACACAAGACGGTTCCAAATGCTCTCGTAGCCCCCTCCGGACCCCATCAAGAGGCCAAAGTCAATCAAACACAGAAGGACAATCCGTGATTCTTGCATTCTCTCACTTGTCTGCGCTTTGAAGGCCTCAAGCTGACCCCAATATGGCTCAAGAGAGGCCCAAGAGGGGCCCAAGAGGGGCCCAAGAGGGTCCCCAAGGGCGCCCGAGAGCGCCCCAATAGGGCCCCGAGAGGCGATTTTGCCTCCATGATGGCCTCAAGAGGCCCTCCAGGGCTCCAAAGGGCCTCAAGAGGGCCCCAAGAGAGCTCTAAGAGGGTCCCAAGACGGCCCCAAGACGGCCCCAACAGCGCTCAATGGCGCCCACGAGGGCCCCAAGAGACGGTGTGCCTCCTCATCCTCCTCCTCCTCCGCTTGCCCCCCGATGGCCCGAATAGGCCCTCAAAGGCCACCCCCTTGCTCCAAGAGATCTCTCTGTTCATCCTGGTTGCCCGCATTGTGTCACTCTATGGATCGTTTCGTCCCTTTTTCCAGTCAGCTCTCATGGGTAACGTTTCGGAAGGGGCTGCTGGGGGTAATTTAGAGGGCAGAAAAGCCACCCCGATAATAACCACCCCGACACACGAGGCCGTTCAGTAGACGCACCCAAAGGAGGAATCGAACAGGGCAGGGCTGTTTAGTAAACGCCTAAAGCCGTTCAGAAACAGAAAATTGTCGGGTCCGGGTGGTTTTTCCTCTCTTGCGAATTACCGGAAGGCGAAGACTTGTCTTTACCCGTTCGCCTTTTCGGCTTCCGGTGGGCCCCTGAGCTCTCAGAGATGGCCCCGAGATGGCGAGGGACGGCCTCCAAGCGAGGCCCAGAAACGGCCACCTGGGGCATCTCAGGCGAGCTCCAGGCGGTTACTCGGGACCCAACGGGGCAACGCTAATTCAGAGCTCCACTTGTCTGGTCGGGTCGACGGCCTCCTGGATGGCCTCAACACCAAATGCACAGGGGCACGATGCCCAATCCCTGGCCGCTGGAAAGGACATGAGCAAAAACAGCGAACCCTCGCCCGGGAACGGCAGCGGGGCCGGTCTAGGCCGAGTGGGACCACGAGTGGCCACCACGCATACTAGCGCCTCGGGGGCGTTCCTTCTCGAGATGCGGCAGCGAAGGGAGGAGGACGGAAGGAAAAGAGGCTCAGGCGCGACCACCCGCACCACCGCGATGCCCACCGCCACCAGAGGGACCTAGCGGGGGTCGGAGCGGTTGGCTAACCCAAAAGGGGGTCCAGCTAAAAGGGGATAATGCAATAGGTTTGGGGCTATTGGATTGCAAATGCATTGCGCCAGCAAGTTGTATTGCATTGTATTGCAACGGATGTATTGCACACGAAAACCAGCAATACATTTGCGCACTGGAATGTATTGCACGCCCCAAATCTATTGCAACCCCGCAAATCGATTGCACCAAATCTATTGCAGCACCCCCTTTCAGCTGGACCCCCTTTTGGGTTAACCAGAAGCGGGAGCGTCGAGGTTGAGCACTCGCATCGTGGCCACGGCTGGGGCCGCCGATGTGCGCCCGAAAGGCCGACAAGAAAGCTCTAAGAGAGCCCCCAAATGGCCCCAAGAGCCCACCGGAGCCCCCAATCTGGACAGCTCGACTGGGCATCGTTTCTGGCGGGGCTGGTGGGGATATACGCAGAGCGTCAATCACTCAAGAGCGTGGCGCATGCGTCGCGAATGCGTCAGCAATCAAATCTGAATGGAATGTGAATCAACAGTACGCGTGCAGCGCTGTAGGTCCTTGCAGCTGGCTCGCATAAGTCCCCAGGCCTCAGTGGAGGTGGGGCGGGCTCGGGGGCGCCGACTCATCTGGAGCCTTCTCTGGGGTGGTCCCGGCCAGGACCATTGAACCGCGCTGGTTTCGCACACGGCCTGGCGGCTCCTGCGACCCAACCTCGTTCCAGAGGGGCACAAACACGGCATGAGCAGAACCTTTCGGAGTTCTGCATGGATGTCTTGCAACGGCGCTGGGCCCCCCTTCCCTTGCACGTGGAGCGCGCCAGGGGAGGCGCTAGAGGCGCCGCCAGGGGGCTCCAAGGCAGATCAAACAAATCCGCGCGGAGCTCCGACTGCTTTTGCTCATGCACGTGTTTCTACTTGGACGTTGCACATGGCAAGTCGCCACAGGCGCGGCTCGTCCGCCCGGGGGAACAGTTAGAGCGTCCCGACGGCGACGCGTCAGCTCGCGCGCCCCACGCATACGCGTCGCTCGCACGTGCGAGCAGGGCGCGGCCAGCATCTCCACGTGCACAGCATGTGGAGCGTCGCTGGCTGACTTGTGGCCATCGCCCGAAGACGGCCACAGTTCGGCCCCAACGCCGATCCAACGGTGCAGGCGGGGGCCTCTGCGCATTTTCAGAACATTCAGCAGCAGCTGTGCCACCCAGGCGCCCACAGTCGGCTACTCTCAGGGGTGACCCGAGGCAAGAGAGACCCTCGGTGCGCGGCTTTAGAGCGCCGCGGGGGGGGGGGGGGGCGACAACCCCGACCAGTGCTGAGGGGGCCCCTGTGGGCACGCACCAAAAGGACCCCTGCGGGCCCGCATCAAAGGTCACCCAGGCGAAGGGCCACACTTACGAGTAGCCGACACTGCCTGCCAGCATCTTCGCGGGCAACGGCCGGGCGAGAGCAGACGCTCGTCGGGCTTGACTTAATTACGCGAGCAGGGCTTCCTCGTCCTCACGGAGGGGGAGGGCTGGAGAGCGATGGCAGGGCAAGGAAAAACTGCATGCATATAAACCTTCGGAGGGCCGCGCGGATCTCTTGGATCTGCGCTGAGCCCCCCACCCCTGGCGCGCGAAGCGCGCCAAGGCTGCCGCGCGGAGAGGCGCCGCCAGAGGTTTCCAGAACAGATCCAGGAAATCCGCGTGGAGCTGCGAACAATACACTCAACCCGTAGAATAAGGACGCATGAGACGGATGTAAAAGGGCCTTGGAAGGCCATGCCGATCCTCTTTCCGAGCGGGACGCGGCCAGCGAAAGCGACCAGGGATGGGCCGAAGGGGAAGGATGCAAGGGTAGCCTTGGAGAGTAGCTCGTCCTTACTGCGCGGGCTGACTGTGTGTTATGCACGTGCTTCTTCCTCGGGATGGATGCGCGGCACAGGCGGCGCTCCAGGCGCTGGGCGGCCAGGGGCCTCCTGCTGAACGTTCCGCCCGCCCGCCCGCGATGCTAAGACCTCGACTGTGCTGGAGGCTGGGATGATCGGCGGCGAGCGGAGGGGGGAAGTGAGAAGGAGAAGGCCCTCTCAGAAGGCGGCGGGACTTCTCAGAAGCCCTCGCGCCTTCTGAGAAATCTTCTGCGTCTTCTGCGGGGAGGTGCGGAAAGCTTCTCAGAAGGCCAGGGGGCCTCCGAGCCTTCTGAGAAAAGTCCGCCCCGTCTCACTCCCCCCCGGTTTCGCCGTCGAGATTAACTGACAAGTCGGCCAGACCGTGCTAGAGTACAAAGCGGTGGCGCGCGTCAGCCGCGGGGAGGGCCAAGACAAAGGGCCGGTGCGGAACGGATAGGAGAAGGAGCGGCTGACGGCCCTGAAGAAATCGGTTCTAAATGGAACACGGCATCACAAGCGAATTGGTTGGCCTGACCTCCTGCCTTGCCCTCTGACGATGAATTTGGGAGAATCATTAACTGCGCCATGGCAAATCAGTCGTCATTGGTGAGGCCGAGTGTCAGACCTCAGCCGAGGTCGGTTGTTGAACATGTCTGGAATTCTCAAGCTCTGTAGTCCTGAACGAAAGCGCGCATGTCCTTGAAGCCGTGGTCGCCGAAGTGGGACATTTCTGCAAGAGCGTCCTCGTTGCTCCAGCCTTGCTCGCGGATGCGATATAGCGCCATCATCGTGCCGGTGCGGTCCACCCCATAGAGGCAGTGTACGTAGATGGGATAGGCAGTCCTGTCCCTAATGATGTCGAAGAAACGCTCCACCTGGTCCGAGTCCGGAGCGTGCGTTTTTGACAGGGGGATCCATTCGTAACGCATTCCTGCTTTTTCTACGTGTTGCCTCTCTTTCTTCTCGCGCCCCCGCAGGTTGATGATGGTTCGGACCCCGAGCGCGCGAAGCGCGTTGATGCCCTCCTCGTGCGGATTGGATCCCCTGTAAATCCCTGGACTGACCTTGGCGACGTACTTGATGCCCTCCAGAGCCTCCAGAGTGACCGCGTACTGCGACACCCCGGCGTCCAGTACCGAGAACGGCGCCGCAACCCTTGGATCCAGCTGCGGAGCCAGGAGCAGGGCCGTGCAGAGCAGAGCTGGCAGCAGGCGCCTTCGTGGCCTGCTGGCCCCATCGACAGCTCGGACCTGCTCCAGAGGAAGAAACCACGGCATCAACAGAAACTTTTGGAGGTCCACGCGGAATTCCAGGGTCTGCGCTGAGGCCCCCCCCTGGCGCGCGGAGCACGCCAGGGGCGAAGCCGGAGGCGCCAGAAGGGGGTTCCAGCGCATACCCAAGAAATCCGCGCGGAATTCCAAAAATTAATGGTTATGACAAGTTCCCTTCTTCGATTCTCCTGTGGAGGACCTGCCATCGCAAAGCCGCGTCGGAATCCTTCGCGGCCTCCGCTTCGCAGTAGAGCAGAGCCGCAGGCAGGGTGAGCTGCGCTCCAGCCAAACGGATTGTGCCAACACGGCTGCGGATGAACTGTAGACCGATGGTGGGCAAATCGTTGCTCAAGTGTGGGTCGCCCGACCCAGAACTTGACGCAACATCAAAATCAATGACAGCGGGCACGGTCCACTCAAGCCACCGGCGAAAAACTGCCCAAGCGAAGGGATGAAAGGGCCTCGGGGTCCCGACAGAGTTCCTTATCGATGGTTTCCCACCTTGGAAATCACTCCCTATAACGAGAAGGCCACAGACAACGGATGAACCATCAAAATGGTCGCAACCAGTACTCGGCATTGCGGACGATACCTGCAAAGGACAACGTGCTAGTAGCCACCGTGGACCGTACAAGATGATATCTTGCATTCTATGCGGCGCAAGCTGGGTGTATCAGTCAATGTGGTGCAACCTAGGTGGTGCAATCCATGTGGTGGAATACACGTGACGCACAGCACTGCAAAGCAACGCAAACAACTGCAAAGCAACGCAACTCAATGCAAGGCAAAACAAGCCATCGCAAAATAATGCAAATCAATGCAGCACGATGTAATGCTATGCGAAGCAATGAAACGCAATGAGAAGCAACGCGAAGCAATGCGAGGCAACACCAGGCTTGCGATACGAACGGGAGGGGGTACAACGGCGACGGCGACGGACAGGAACGGGGCCTCTGGGCCCGCAGACAGGACTTCTGTTCGGCAGAATTGGGCGGCGACGGACGGGAACGGGACCGCTGCCGCACGTATCTGACATTTGTACAGTCAACGATCAAAAAGGTCAGTTGGCCCGAAACAAAATAACGCGGGTCCATGGATCTCCTGGCCACAATGTAAAACCACGAAGAGTGCGAGTGAACCAACTTGAAAAATAAAAAGGACGTGCTGTGAGGTTCCCATGGGTCACATACACCAGGGTACATTGGCTCCAAAAAGTGGCAGACATCACCACTGCGCCTTTTCAGATGTCATTCAAGGCTCCGCCTCAGCCGCCCCTCGACCTCCATCCTGCGAGGCACCCTACTACTCGCCCGCCTTCCCAATGCACCCTAGTTTGAAAGGGGGCTGGAAGACCCAGCCAACAGCTTCGCCTCAGGCCAAGCCGAGCTCCAACTCTGTTGTGCCGTAGTAGCGATAGTCCCAGTATGAAAGGAGATGCCATCTCAAGCAATAGGAAGATCCTTTTGGTCTCGATAGCGATTGTGTGCCTCGCAGTGAAGCGCAGTCAAATTTGGGCGGCTGGCCGCTTGAGCCCACGCGGCCGCGGGCGCACGCTCGCTTCTACTTCTTACGTCCCTCAGCTCGCTTTAGAGTCGGGGGGAGGGAGACGAAGCGTGAGCCCGTCGCCCCTATACAGCAGGCGTAGCAGCTAACCAAAAACAAGGACAGACAAGGAAGCGGGCCTAAAGGAAGGTGGACCCGCTCGCAAGTTGCCTCGCATGTATATGACGTGCTCATCAGGCGGCGTCAGAACTTGATGTCTGGCGGGCCCGATATGGAGTATGTCTCTTCAGGTCATGTTTGAAGGTCTGTACACCTCCCATGACTTGTAGGAGCATTTCTCTGTCGATGCTCCCCTTGGTGTGGCCATCCGCAGTCAGATCGCGGGTGTCACACCACTGAATGCTGCGCACAATCCCACGATCCATCATCTGTCGTATCCTACTGATGTGTCCTGAAAGGGTACACTCAGCCGGCTTCTTCAAGTCTTTGCTTGACAGGGACTTAAAAACAGACTCAGCCTCGATGGTCAACATGACCTTGATGCTCAGGCCACCCAACTCAAGTATATCTTTCAACTGGGTGGGCGTGAGCGGCCCCGCGTGGAGCTCGTGCAGAGTCATAGTCGTAGGATAACAGTCCTCCAAAGAATGGGCTTCTGCGAGCGTCTGTGCTGAGTAACCCGATCGGACCTGCAAGCGGTGAGACTTGCAGTACGCATCAATGAAGCGAACGACAGGCTTACCAGATAACGTGCTTCCACGTCGTAGCAGGTTTGCCCCGCGAATACCATAGCCTTTGACGTCGTCATCGGCGTCTCCACTCAGGCGTCGATATCCTGAGTCGCTACGTAAGTCGACCTCGCCCGTGGGGTTTATCGCCTGGTAGACGATCTTCTTCGGGCAGGCCTGTAGCTTTCTGGTGGTCGCGCTCAGTCGTCGCACTTGAACGTTGGTCGTTTCTTGGGCAACCTGTAGAGATACAACATGCGCCATGGGCCACACCTGGGTGATTTGCGCGTATGCCAGCGCACCCCTGAGGCTGACGAACATGTCTGCCACCATCTTGGTTGCCTGAGCGTTAGCTTCGGCGCAGGTTAGTTCGGGATGTTGTATAGGACGGAGCTGCGCAGCACAGTTGGTATATGTGTGCTTGTTGAGTTTACACTTACCAAAGGTATCTTCAACACATTTGACATACTTGTCAATGGTGTCCTCAGTACCAGCCATACTAATGTCATCCACATGCTTAGCCGTGAGCAAGTTGTTGCTCGTCTCGATCTCCTCGTCGTAAGACGTGGGTCGGAGACCAAATCCTCTGGTGGTTCTTCTGAGCTTAAGTGAGAAAGCCGGTGGGGCGTCTTTAGTGCCTGTGCCTGGCTTTAAGCACTGAGGGCAGTGCTTTGACTCGTCGTAGTGCTCGAAACTTGGGAGAGTCCGGAGCACTGTGGCCGATCCAGGCGGCAGAGTAAAACACACCACGCGTTCGTTTGCACCACTAGCCTCAGCAAGTTCCTGATAGGTCAATCCCTTCAGGAAGGCCATGTTGATGTCGAGGGAAGCAATGACCCACTGCTTCTTGCACGCTGCCGTGCTAGCGAGTAACCTCTGGCTTGGCCGTCTTGCTGTACCCGAACATGTTTCTACGTCGAAACCTTCGCGGTCCATGAAGCCTCGGAGAACCCAGCGTAGTCGGATGGTACGTTCCATCTCGCCCTTCTCGTTCTTCAAAAACTTTCATTCGTGCACGTATCTCGAAGTCCGCATGTTCGACCCTTCGGCTATCTCCTGCATATTGAAGCATTTGTTGTCGAACCGTGTCTTGAGTTCAGTGTAGAGGGCCCTCGATACTTCATCGGCATTTGCCTGAATTTCAGCTTCAGCGAGGAGGTCGTCTTCCTTGACGACCTCATAGAGGCGGCGGTAACGCATGCTCGCATAGTGGTCACCCGGTCGGCATCGAATATCATGCGTTGTTGTTCGGACAAGACTACCTTCGACACTTCTGTCGTAAAACATACTTCGACACATCGACCAATTTCGTCTGAGTCGAGTCCGTAGCTGTCGTCTTCGACCATGGTGCACATGGGGCCGTAGTACGTCTCCACGGTATCGGAGTCGTGAGTGCGCCCCCACTTCGGCAGGTGCCCCCGCTGTTCATCAGCTGCAGTTATCAGCGCGCTTTGATCTGGAACCATATGTGTAGGTATGGTAAACAGGTCCTCTGGTGGAGTTGCCTCCAACAGTTCCCTTCCCTCCTGTAGTTCTGCAAACCGCACCTCCATAACATGTGACTCAAGATCAGCCTCTGATTCTTCGTAAATCGTAGAGAGCCGTCCTTCATCATGTGCTGGTTCGGCTTCTGAGACTTCTCTTGCGGTTCCATCCGGTGCCGGCGTATCTGCCACTTCCTCGAATGCTGAAATGTCCTGATCAGGACCTGCTTGAGGTTTAGTGAACTTCAGGCATTGGATAATTCGTGAGTGTGCTGATCCAGCTATATCCTGTATACCCAGAACAGTACCTTCTGCTTCGTAATTATGATATCCTGGATTCACGTCGTTGTCGTAATGAACCAATGTGCCGCTGTCGGCATAAGTAACCGGAGGTAGCTTATGGATATTCTTGGCTAATCTAATTGAAACTACATTCTCAATGCGAGAGAAGTCTCTGATAAGACACTGTGGAGCCAAGTGTACCTCAGGAGATAGACGGCTTGAGGTAGTCATCAGAAGCGCCCCTTTCTTGGTCGGCCCGTAGCCGAAAGTCAAAGCAGGTCTTCCCGCTGATAGGCTGGCTACGAATGTTAACACTGTGGGTAGCGCAGTGTTGTCGGAGCCAATTTCTCGGGCTATGAGTGCTTCAATGTATAACGAATGCCTTGCATCGCCGTATTGTACTTGAATATCTCGATTGCCCACTCGGATGATGACCTGACCCCTTTCGGGATCATTCCTTGCAGCTGGGAACGGGCCATTCCATCCTCCCCAGTCATCCTTCGTGGTCGTAGGGCGATGGTAGTCGACCAGTCTCCTTCGTCATAATAGTGCTGACCGGAAATTGTCGTCTTGGTGCGTAAGGCACAATGGGTCTTAGCTACTGCTGTGGCCTGTGGGATAGCTTCAATACTCACCCTGCGTATCGTCTGTTCACGAGAATGATCCGATGTTTCCGTCGGCTGCTTGTGGTCCAGAACAGGGAGGTCAGGGAGCACTGCTGGTTGCCATCCAAATAGAGCGTTGTATGAAGATACCTCGTTGTAGAAGGTGAACGCGTTGGCGGCGAACAAAGCTTCGTGCAGTAGTCGGGTGAACACAAGAGGTATGTCTAACCTATTGAGTTCAGCCTCCATGGCGTGAAGTAAATGGCGTAGGATGCCATTTCTGGCCTCGGTCGTTGTAGCGTGCTGTCCACGCGCGCGTATCCTAAGTTCAGCGCCTTGCCTTGAGGACTGCTTTCGCAGTGTCGTTGTTAAGCGCACCCTCTCCATCAGAGTAAAATGCCTAGGCAGGTACAAACTGCATCCAGCACTGATGATATGCATCCAGGATACTGGTCATAGTCTTGTCTGGTACTTCAATCCCACTAGCATGCCGTATACAGCGATCGATAATGTGGAATATCTGGTGTTCCTGTTTGTAGAACATCATATCAAATTCCACTTCCTCATTAACTTTGCCAGGTAATGCAGTAGCGGGCATAACAGT